CTCTTGGAGTCTTCTGCGGTGTTTGCGGGAAATCGCCAGAAATAAAAGCAAGAGGACGCGCGTTGCAATCACACCTGCCCCGTCTTTTTCCCTCAGTGCCGAGAGGGTTTCTTTTCCTTTTCCTCCCCCCCCCCCCCCGGAGCGCCCTCCCCATAGCTTTCGGCTTGCTGATCTCGCCGCTTGAACAGGCAGAAGCGCGCGGCGTGAAGGCGAGGCAGGCGGGATTCTAATAATGATCCCAAAATACTCCTTGAAATGCTTTTTAAACGTTCTCTGGTGAGTCTAATAAACACAAAACAGTATTTTCTGATGAATTAACTTCAGCCAAATCCTAAGGGCTATTTTATATTTCTTTTTTCATATAGACCTGAAGCATTGGGGGGGGGGGCTCATGGGGGAGCAGAAGAAAAATAACTTCCATGGACAATATTTGCAAGGGGAGGGGAGACAGCTGTCCCCTCCTAGGTGAGCTATGCTATTCCCAGCTTTCATTTCTAAAAAGCGGGTTGTCTTTATCGCTTCTAGTTGCCAAGATAATTTGCCCTTTTCAGTCTTTAATTCAAGATCTGGCAGTTCATTTGAAGGGGAAATTGGAGTCAGGTGTTTCAGTCAAGGGGATGATAATCAGGTCTGAGTGTGGGAGGTCCCGCTTTATGTAAAGAACAGAATTCTGGGTATCCAGTATCTGGTCTTCACATTGCAGGTATGTGGAAGTGTGTCATAGCTTCAGCAAAGGAGATTTCTGAGGACCTCCAGAAAACAGTTGTTGATGCTTACCTGGCTGGAAAAGCTGAGAAAACTATTTCCGGAGAGTTTGGACTCCATCATTGATTGAAACACCTCACTCTAACTTCCCCTTCAAGTGAACTGCTAGGACTTGAATTAAACAGAGGAAAACATGGGGGCAAAGTGTTATTCAGCTCCCATTGGCTGTACTACTGCTTTAAATTGCAGCTCTTCCTGATTTTGCCAATCCAAGTTGGTATGAAGCAGTAACATTTTCATGCCTATTTTCTATCTTGTGGCATTTTTGTGCAATTCTCCTAATACCTACATTTGCCTCTGCAACCTTAGCTAGGTAGAAATCTCTGTATACTTTTACAGAATATATGTACATTGTAACCGATGTGCATATTCTGCATAGAGTTTTTAGTTGCAAATTGCACTGGAACCTTCCAGAAAGAGCAAGTTCATTGTATGGGTGTTAGAATGCAAACTTACGAGGTTCGTCTCCGAGCCGGGAATAAACACGCAGGCGGCTGCTTGAAGGAGAGAGAGGATTTTATTTCCGGGAGCCAAATACAGAAGACGATCAGCTGTCGGGGCAGCCGCATGGGGGCTTCCCAGGAATCCCCTTTCAGAGGGAAGATCCTTAAAAGGGGCGAAGGGAAACCCGCCCCCTAGGATTTCTTAGAAAAGGTCCTTAGCCCGGATTCCAGGGGAGAGGCCGCCAGTGAAATTGACTGGAGAGCAGTTGACTGGGGCGGGGTCTAAGGTCAGGCACCCTGCTGAGCTGGGGTTTCCTGTGTTTGCCTTATCTGGTATTGTCTAATTGGAATGTAGATCTCTTCGGGAAGAAATATTTTTATGATTCGATTTTTGGTTTTAAGGAAAGTTGGCCCTTCCTGCCAGGTCTTTAGTTATTTAATTTTGGGCCAGGGTGGGGGACTCCTGATTCTTTCTGTTCCGTCTTAATCTTTCTAGGTGAGCCCATTTTTACTATAATTTAGCCACATGCTTTGATTGCAGTTTAAGATAAGTGATGATAGAATGAGACAAACGAGGAGCTTTGACTTCCTGCTAAGGTGGGGGGGGGCAGAGGGGATTTGATTTCCTTCTCACGTGAGCATTCTGGGTCTCCTAATAGCTGCCAATGTGAATCCTGGAAATGCTTATAAAATCAAATGGAACTGATTGTTCATTAATTTGAACTCTGAATTGAATTCAACTTTAGAAGAGAAGCACCTTTTCGGAGAAGTTTTGGAGGTTTGCTAATACAGGTCCACAGCTGGTAAAGGAACAGCAGTTCAACATTTTATTGACAAAGCTATCTGCTACAATCAAAGATTGCTTCAGGGGAACTCAGGCATGTGATATAGCAAGCACCATTATAGAGGAAGAATTATATTTGAGGAAAGGGTGGGTGTGTTTTAATGTCCTGAAATCTGCTTAATGTGATGTGTGCAGTGGTGGAGAATGAGGTTGTCTACTTCCCAGGATTTCTGATGCATGGTTCTCGTTGTGGATTTTTCACTCTGACCTGGATCAGAAATCACCATATTACAACCAGGAAGAGGAGGAAGATTCCTAACTGGTTAGATACCTTACCTTTTTAACCATTTTCAGGCAGAATAGAGTGCTTAGGTTATCTCATATTTCACCTTCAGTGATTCTTAGAAGGCCATGTCATGAATACAGCCTGCTTGCCAGACAAATGGCTCAGACTCAGTGCTCATCCCTATGAGTGAGAGATGGCTCTTCCTCACTTAACGAGTCAGATTACTCCATTACTGTTCCATCTGCTGAATGTAGGAAAAAAGGATCTTTGGAAAACAAAGAGAGAACTCCAACCTGCATGGGGTTCCCCTCTTCCCTACTGGCCCCTCATGGATGTAGGAATCTCCAAGAGGCTGGAAAAGTCCAGAAATCAGAGAGATCCGGAAATATGTTTCAGAGCTGTAGAAACAGATAAAGTATGTAGCCTGGAATTTTATGCTAGGTCTTTTTTTCTGAATTATTCCAAGTCCCGTTTTCTTTATCCCTCTGTAGAAGTGAATGGAATTGGATGCTTAATTCCTTCATCCACAGTTCAGGCTATGTCCATGAAAGACACCTTTTTGGTTCAGAATCTTCTTGTGAGTTGCAATGATTTGAATCCTTACCAGTCTGTTTTTGGAGATTTTGGGCAGAGGGCTCTTCATTTGTCCAGAATACATTTGGATTTTGCTTTCTTAACTGATTTGCAAGCGGCTGTATATACCCATGACCTGGGTGAGGGGGAGGAAGGGATCAATCCTTCTGTCACCATGTCTCCATGCTGCATAGCCTGGAAATGGCACTATTAAAAGTATTTCAACATTTGTATTTTAACCTTTTATTGCCAGAAAGGCAGCACAGAATATGAAGCCTATCTTTCTGACACACTGGGTGAGGAAGAGTAATTCTTCCAGTGAAGCTCTGCCCTTACCCAGGCAGAGGTGAATCATGCAGCCTGTTAATTTCTGTTTGGCTTCTGGCTCCAGGAGAAGCACCTAAACCTGGATGGATAGCCTCAGACCCCTTTCACATGGCTGCTGAAGCCCTCTCCAACTACAGCTGCTTAAAACCAGTGGCTGGTTTATGTATACAATCCAAGAGATGCTGACAAGCTGTAAAATAAATCCTAAAATGCTGTAGACTTATTTTAAAAAAAGATAAAACATTCCTGGGCCACCTCATGACTGAACTACTGTAATTTCCTCTAGGTGAGGCTGCCCTTGAAGATTGCTTAGAAGCTTCAGCTGGATCTGGAATGAAGTGGCTGAAATAGGCTCTAAAATCCCCTCATGTGAACATCTCTGCTATCAGAACTACACTGCCAGCAGTTGGCTTCTGGATATGTCAAGTCCCTGACAAGAATAAGAAAGCAAGAATGACATTTCTGGAAGATATTTTTAATGCTAGTCTGGAGTAAATGCAGAATCTTAAAATTTCTAGGAGAAATTTCCCAGCCTCAGTTATAGTGAGTTAAGAAAGGCAGAGTCTCTTTGAAACACTTTCTCAGCAGCTGGATTGAGTTGCTGTTTCTGAGATCTAAAGCACACAGTCACTCAAGTTTTCCACCATCTCTCTCAGCAGTTCAACATGCTGGTTGTTACCTTTAATGCCATGCACTGCTTAGCACCTGGCTATCTTTGAGGACATGTTGTCCCGTTAATACCTGCTCATCCAAAAAGATCTGGAAGAGAAGGCTCCCTCTGGATCCCTACTCATAAGGATTTATGCCTATCAGGGAACCTGGGGGAGGACCTTTCCTGTCACTGCCCCCCTCCTCTAGAAGACCATTCCCTGAGATCAGGCTACTCCCAACCCTGTTAGATTCTCAACAAGCTATAAACATTTGCCTTTTTCAGACAGCCTATAGGGTTTTGAGTTTACTCTTGCCTGCTCTGGCAAAGTCTCATTAGTAGTGCTGGTGTTTTGATAGATTATATGAAATTGTTTATCTTGCTGCTACATAGGACTTAAACCTGTACCTCATCAACCTCCACAACACTCACTCCCTGCCATCCATCATATTTAGCAAGAGAAGGAAAGGAAGCCTGTAAAATGTTTCATGACCAAATGCAGCAATACTCTCAATTCCCATTCAACCCAATTTGAGTACCCGATTATCTTGTTAAGTATCTGGAATATATGTCATTAAATCAGTCTTCAGGAAAATAGTTAAATTTTTTTTAAATGACCTTAAAATGTCATTTATGGGGATAATCCTTAAAGAAATAGAATGGAATACTTCCTTTGAGATGGGACTTGTGTAAAATTTAATTTCCTGAAAGCACTGTTTTGCTTCAACTTTTTAATATGCAAATCAATTCTGTTATACTCACTCTGAATGATTGCACAGGGTGACTCCCAAACTCATTCCCTGGTGAACCATGTTTGTCAATAAATCTTTGGAGTTCCTTATGTCAAAAATGCATTTGCCCTCCTGAGAATCAGAGATCTCTAGCCTATGAATGGCCAATGCGTAACTGATACATTCCAAAATCTACTTTGTTTCACTGCCACTTGCTCCATTCAGGAAATCTGCCCAATCAACTGATATTAAAACTATATTTCAGCATTAATATCAAAATGGATTTCCTCTTGAATATCAGGTTTTTTAGTATTCTGATATACTAAATGTAAACTGCTAAGAAAGGACACATATAGAACAGTTCTATATGCATCCTTTCCTCAATACCGCAGTTGTAAAGAAGCAGCCTGAATGAAAAGATCTCTGTGATTGGAAGGTAAAAATAAGATTAAAAACCCATTGGTTTAAATAAAACACCTTTCTTCTTTCACTGCTTGCAAAAGCCAGGGTGGAGTCATGACTCAAAATATCAGCAAGACACACACAAAAAACCCAAGCGAGTCCCTTTGGCAAAAGGCTGAATATCTGAAGCAAAAGTATCAAGTGGTGTAGCACAAAAAAACACCTCCAATTACAGGGAACTATGATCACCCCCCCCCGCCCCCGCTTTCAGTTCCCATTCCTTAAGGAATGAGGCTCAAGGACAAAAAATCAAAGAGGAACAAGTACTTTTGGAGGGACTTAGGGGCAGATTTAACATCATGCCAACTGCTCCCCCCATGCTCCTTTCAATTCTCATTAAAAAAAAAAAAAAGCTGGAGAACAAAATAAAGCAACACAAAATGCATTGCTCCTCCTGAGACCTCTGATGCAACACAATTCCTTCCTGGTGTCTTTTTTTTTATTGTGGCTTGGTAAACACCATGTTAGCATAGGGTGGTGGAGAAGAAGGACGATTGGATTCAGTAGCGACTGCTGCATTTCCGTTGACTTGGTAAGGCAGAAAAACCATGGTCGGCTGTAAGAGAAAAGAATACCTAAATACAAAAAAGACTGATTTGTCTTTGGGGGCATCTGTTACTCCAGGTTATGCGGAACATAACCACAGTTCTCCAGTTGTAGGTTTTCAACTGTAGCGCTGTGCTTGCCTAGAATCAGCTGGGAGCCTCACGAACAGGCTGAAACCCTTGAGAGCCCAAAGCTGATAGAGAAGTCTTGAAAGCTATACATTAACATCCAAATGACTTAGGGCCTGAGGATTTAAGCACCTTTCCCTGATCAAATCTGCCCTCCTGATCCAGACAATCATAGGATGTCTGCTCGGGGTCCCCCACCTACCAAGAGGTGTGACAGGAGGGCCCACAAAGGTGACTGTTCTCTGTGTGGAATTGCTGACCGTTTGAAACAAGGATGGCACCTGCTCTGATGGTCGCCTGGAAAGTGAGAAAGACCCAGGTTTTCCTGAGGGCCTTTGGGGACTGATTTTACCTTGTACATTTGTTTTTATTAGTTATATATTGCTTACATTTTATATTGTATTAGTATTATTGTTGTGTTGTAAACTTCCTAGGGTCCATTTGAATTGAGGCTGTGCATAAATAAATAAAGTCATGATTTATTCACAAAAGCTGTTAGGAGATTATTAACTAACTTTAGGAATTTAAAGGCCTGAAGCAGATGCATCTCCCTCCAGGGGAGGGTATTTTTTTGGTTTCCTGAAATGGCTTCAACTTACTGTGAACTGATACAGGTATCTCTGTATCCTGATTTGGCTGCTTACCATATTTTTAGAGTTCTTCTATTTTGTCAGATTCCAATCACGTTTACCCACTTCAGTGTTTGTCCTGTCCCATTTTCTCCCTCCCTCCCAAGTTAATCTAAATACTTTTTTGAAAGGTTGAGGGAGAGTGTATTTGTTATTGGTACAGAAGGAAGCCAACCATCATTTTTGCAGAACAAGGGAAAGGCGTGGCTTTCTGATCCACCACAAGAACCTGCCAAGGCGGAATGCATGTACTTGGTTTGTCATTCGATTGTTTCTGAGTATTTTTTCCAGAGGCCTTTTTGGTGCTGTTAGAATCCCTTTATGTGGCATCTGTATTCGGAGATGTTAGGTAGCATATGGCAGTCATGTAGTGAGCTATTTGTCTCTGAATTAAAAATAATCCATTATTTTAAAATACAACTGAAAAACCCTTAAAATTTGTGTCTAAGTACGTTTTTTAAGAGATGGTAACATTGTGAGAAACTGTGATCAAGTGACAGATACTTTAAATTAATGTGGTGAATCTTCCACTAGCTGCCCTCACTACCACAGTAAATATATGCATGTAGGAGTGAGCCCTCTGAAATAAGGAAATCAACTTCTGCCTCACTGAATTAAAAAGTCAGAGAAAACACAAGCTGTGTTGTAGTCATGACATTCTTTCCCTAACAAAACAGAAACTGGGAAAAATTTGCAGCAGCAAGTTATTCATATGCCGAAGCGAGTAATCACAGGGTGTTGGATCAAAATTCAAGCCCCGCTTAGTTATAAAGCTTATTGGGTAACCACAGATTAGCCAATCTCAGGCTTATAGTAAAGACACAAGCAAAAGGTAAGGTTGGGTGGAGTGTAAATATAAGAAGAAAAATGGATAATCTTCTTTAACTTTTCAATAAGAGCTGGTAAAACTATTATGAAAGCATCCAAAACTTACCTGGCCATAAGTACAGCAAGTTGCCCGGCACCCAAAATGTGCAAGTGGAACAGTGATACAAAATTCCAGCAAGCTGAACAAGAGCAGCATGCTGGAGAGGCCAGTACCGACATTCTGTAGGGTATGGAGACATGTGGATAGTTACTATTTGCTGAGAAATTAGTCCAGCTATGTGCTACACCATTAAAAAGAATCCATGACACCCCTGGAATTGAAATTTCAAGGATCTTCACACCAGTCCCATTCGCAAAGTTGTAGCTACTGCAGCGTAACCACAGTTAGCCGCAGTCACGTGATCGTGATTTATGACTACACTTCCCAGAAACCTGTAGGTCTTGTGGCGCAAGAGAAGATGGGAGGAGCGTATCCCCGCCCTCTTTCCCTCCTCTCTCTGGCCTCTGTATCGATTCGGCTGGTGGCAAGGCACAATGGGCAAGCGGCGATTGGCTGCTTTGGAACTGAGGCTGAAAACTGAAATCTTTTAATGGCGGGGGGTGGCGAGGGGAGCAGGGGGGGGGGGGTTGGATTCCTTCTGTCGGGGGGGGGGTGGCCTGGGGCGGCG